CCCGATGGAAGAGGGGAGGGGTCGGGTGGCATGTGATTTTCAACCCCCAAGGGGAAAGGTACGACAATGCCGTATAGAAAGTCGCCAAAGGCTGTTTGCTGAACTTTGTTTCAGTGCTAAATGAGGACAATATACCTTCTGGGCGACCCAGTCTTGTGGTACAAATTTAGCCATGTTGCGTGGTATTATGGTACACCCAGAGCAAACAAATCCAAATTTGACTGGTGAGAGTTTTCGACTTTAGTTTGTATGGTCCTTATGGCTCAGCAATTAAGAGCGATTAAGAGAAGGGAAGAAAAGAAGTGACTGCTTCGCAAGGGGGTTACCAACCGTGGCGTGCTTCACGATGAAGATTTATTTTATTTTCATATTTCTTAACCACTTGGCTAAAGGTCTGCAGAAATCGCCGTATAATATAATCAGACCCCCCGCCAAATTTTCCTCCTCTGTTTTGGCAACAGAATAACATTCAATCGAACATAAAATGCCTCGAAAATAAAAACAGAAACTGATGCTATAAAGTTTCACATTCCTCGTCCCCTCTAGAAACGCTGAATGCACTGCATGGCCCTTGGGGCAAGAAAAGAGTTCTCTGGCTGAAAATATTATAACACAAGCATTCAACTGCCTAAACTGCTAACCAAAACCTTGCGTTTTTATAATAGTTTTAGCCAGAGAAAGTTTTAAAATTGCACTTTGATTCGTCCTGGTTTCGGTCCCTCGAAGTTGTAGGTAAGTTTATTGATTCATCGGCAAATTAAGATAATAACAAACATTGTCAATATCTATCATTTATTTTATGCTCAATTTTGGTTTGTACATTGCTTTAATCAATAAATACATATCTACATAAGATTTTATACTCCATCAAATATTTTCGCGCGCGTGCGATTGGTCTAAACACATCACTTGACCGCTTAGTATAATTTCCAGAGGTGAATATAATAATTGGACATTCTGACGGGTCAAAAAGCTCATCATATGATGCTATATTCACCCCGCTTGAGCTTGGTTACTAAGCTCGCCACCTTTGCCATCTCGGCAACTGAACATGGCAGACACATAGGTGTACCGGCACCTTCGGACTTAGGAATAGGGGGGGGGGGGGG